GTTGCTCAATAGCTTTTCAACCTCTTCATTGACGATCCGGTTGCGCTCTAGTGAGAATTTCCTTCTCGTCTGCTTCACTGGTTGGTGATCTGGATCTACTTTGAGATGGTGAACCATGGCCTCTGGACTTATTCCTGTCATGTTGGTGTGGGACCAAGCGAAACAGTCTTAATTTTGTCTGAGGAATTCTATCAGCTTTTCTCTTGTTTTGGGCCCTAGACGGGAACCTATCTGTGTCTTTCTCGCAGGATCATCCAGGTGTATCTACACTTCATCCAACTCTTCCATAGATGGTTGATCTGGCTCGGTCGGAAGGGTTGGATGGGACTGTAATTACTATGAAGCGTTACCCTTGCCTTTGAAGGCATTTTTGTAACAATCTCTGAAAGCTTTCAGGTCGCCCTTGATTTCTTGTACTCTCCATTTGGTAGGAAACCTGATTGTTTGGTGGAAAGTGGATAGGACCGTTTGCATGTCATGGATCCAAGGTTGGCCCAAGATGACATTGTAGGGTGAAGGGGCGTTGATCACTTGGAAGACAGTCTGTTTGTTTACTACACTAGCATAGATAGGAGGGACGATCTCTTCGATGGTGTACTTCTGCTCAGAACTAAAACCAATCAGTAGGGTCGGCCTTCTGTTGATGTTTTCTTCTTCCAAACCCATAGCCTTCACTGCGGCAAGGAATAGAATGTTCGTTGATGACCCCCCCTCTATGAATATCCTCTTGACAAGGATGTTGGCGATTTGGAGAAAGACGACTAGAGCATCATGATGAGGGGCGGCCAGGGTGACCAGCTCGTCGTCATCAAACTGAATTACATGATGGGAGTGTGATCGAGAAACCGGGTGGATGGACTGGATCTCATGGTGGCTGCTGGCCCTGGCGTATCGTTTGGCTGATGAGAACTGACCCCGCTGATTTCTGATCCCCCGGAGATGAGTGAGCAGAATCCTTTTGGTGTGGGCTCTCACCGGGGTGGAAATGTTTCTTTAGTGCTTTTCTGGCCAATGGTGTGCTTCCCTTTATCTCTCAGCAGATCTCGGAGATGTCCCCTCTTCAATAGTACGACGACCTCCAAATGCAGGACAATGCAGTCCGGGGTGTTATGTCCATGGTTGCCGTGGAATTCATACCATTTGGTTGTGTCTTTTCTTGCTTCGGCGTTGAGCTTACCTGGCCACTTAACACTAGATCCCATTCCTTTCATGATTGCCACCACTTAGGCTGGTTCAACGTTGAGGGTGTAGTCTGGTATTTTGTATCGGCTCGGTCTGACCTGTCTGTTGTCGGTTATGGGTGGCTAACGGTCATATTGTGGCTAGAGGTCATATGGTTTCCTGACTTTGTTCAAGTAACGCGCAGGGGGTTAGTAACGGGGTTCCGTTGGTTTGACCTATGGCCTCCTATCATTCTGCCTTGGGTTGTACCTGGCGTGAATTGCTCGATTCATCTCATCTTCTTCCCACCTTATTTGTATCACCGCTCTGGCCAAGGTGTCTTCCATCTTTGTTCAACCAAGCTTCGTCAATTCTTTGTACAATTCCCCATCCGGGAGGAGGCCTTTTCTAAATGTGTCTACGGCTATCTCGGGGTTGTAGGAAGGAATGGAAATTTTCTCTTTGTTGAATTTGCTGACGTACTCTCTCAGTGGTTCTCTCTTTTTCTAGTATACTCTATATAGATCAGTCGACAATTTCTCGAGCTTCTTGCTGTTGGCGAACTATTCCACAAAGGTGTCAGTGAGTTATGCGAATGAGTCGATAAAACCGTTCGGGAGATATGTGTACCATTGGAGTGCTGGGCCGGCTAAGCTTGAACCAAAACTCTTACACATGCAGGCTTCCCTCAGCGCTCGGGGTATGGAGATAGTGAACATCTGCTGTTTGTACGAGGCTATGTGATCATCCGGGTCAGTTGTGCTGTCATAGGGCTTCATGTTGGAATAGTAAACTTGTGGGGCATGTCGGCTAGGGCGATTGCATCCACAAAGGGTGAATCAGCGTAGCAGTGAGGTCTGCTCTTCTTGGTGAGGATCGACATTCCTGGTATTCACCTCATCACTACCTCTACATCACCCAGCCTCTTAGCCAATATCTATTCCATAGGAGAGGGGGATACCACTAGGTCATCTCGTTTGACTGGGTCGACCATTGCATTCGCACTCGGCATATTTTGTTGGGTCATTCCACGTCGTGTAATGGCGGATCATTCCTTCGTGTACCTCTTGGTAGCTTAGATCGCCATTCATTCCCTCTGGTGGGATGACTCCTATTGTAACTAATCGGGTGTTTCGTCCTACATGGATGGTCAGGGGGGTTGTTTGGTATTCGTTTGGCTCGTTATGATGGATGGACTCGAGTGGTATATTTTGGTTTGGGTGGCTGTTCAACCCGCGAGGGTGAGCCGAGCCGAATGGTGTTTGTGTAGGGATGGTCGACTGAAGGTGAGGTGGGATGGCAAGGATGGGCTGGTCTTGCTAGAGCGGGTTTTCTGTCACTTAGGCGTCTTGATCTCGAGGTTGTGATGGATTAGCTGAGCGGGGTTCTGTTGACAGATCTTTTCCTCCCTGAATCAGGACCGGATCGTCGACCACCAACAAACTTAGTTGACGTGATCTTTTATCTGAAGTCGCGGGCCCGTGCTCTAGGGTTTGGAGAGGTTGCATAGATGGAACCAAGACACGGAACCGATTGGGTGGTACCTGAGAAGGCAGAAGCTCGAGGTCATAAAACTGGCTTACCTTTTCTTTCAAAGACTGGTTCTCGGCCATGATGGAGGCGTTTTCGGTCCAGATGGCAGTGTTCTCAGCTTCCAATGCGACTACCTTGTCTGAGTTCTATTGCATGAAGGCGGTTAGAGCCTCCAGTTTGGCCTCGAGGCCGGGTTAGAGTTGTCAGAATTGTCAGCCATGGAAAGTTCCTCTACGTAGCAAGGTTTGTCGAGCCGAATGATTGCTACAGGCCCCATGGTGGGCGCCAAACTGTAGACATAAAAATCTACCTGTACGGAAGGAGGGACTGATCCCGTGAGGTTGAGGCCACTAGCGATCTATTGTACCTGCACAAGTAAAGAAACACGTGTGAAGTGACGAAAAACACCAGAGTGGTGTTTGCCGTAGGCACTCCAACGCTCAAGTCAGCAAGGCTGAAAGGCTGATTTAGTGAGGGCTAGGGAGTAGAGAGGTTACCAGAAGTCTAGTCGGGGACTGTGACTACGGCTGTGATGCGAAGTTCTCAAGCTAGAACTCCGGGGTTTGTAGGTGTAGTGTAATCTGCCTTGTGAGAGGGTTGACCTCTGTTTAAATAGTGATTGTCTGGTCTCCCAATCCTAGTGGGATTGGGAGTTCTCGTAGTAATCCGTTCCCTCTCGGGATAAATCCTTTGGTCCCATTATCCCAACGTGAAGAGAAGTCCAAGTATGACTTTGACGCGGACCTTGGAGGAGTTGGGGTTGTAATGGGCTACTTTACCTGTGCTCGGATAGGAATGTGATTTGTGGTTGACCACGGGCTGTGGATTCATTCATAGGTCTAGCAAGTGAACTGGGACTAGGAGGCTTGTGTCTGGACGATTTGGGCTGATTGTGCTTCGTATCAAATGGGCCTAATCCGGTGAGTTTTGGATTGGGCTGCATCGAGATTGGGCCTGGTCTTTTCGTCATTGTCAGACCCGTTTTCTTATTTGGGACGGAGACGATTTTTGGCCCTAACAACATGTAATATTATTCCTAATTAATTATCAGATGAACATGGTCTTGCCCTGTTAATCTAAAACAATATAAGGCCAAACTAAATTCATTTGAGATGAAGAACGAATCACTCACATAATTCTTTCATGTTGAGAATTGTGGGCATCAAAATTAAAAATAAAATTGTTGATGGGTTGTGTTGGCTTAAAGCTCTAGAGCACCGAGAAGAGTTAATTAAATTTCGAATATCAGGTGGTGGTGTAGCTTTAACACTTTTCCCTGAGGCGTGCAATTCATGAAAACAACGTGGGAACCGTTTTAAATTCATGCATTAGTCAAATTGATAAAAAAAAAAAAAGTCTATTAAGATATTAGTTAGTGGCACTTTAAATCCAACAAAATTAAACTAATCTAACAAGATATTTATATGTTGGATTTCTGGTCATACCTCATTATTAATAATAATAATTATAATTAAAGTTTTCGATATAAATATAAATACCTTCTTCAATCCAATGTAACATAAATTAATTAATCAGTAGGGAGGTGAATTACAAAAAGAGAAATGAAATATAAAAACTATATACTTCGAGGCTAAGTATTGGAAAGGAGTCAAAAGAATTTTACAAATTAGGTGCAGCGGAATGAGAAGACGCCGGTTTTTAAGATATTTTTGACTTTGCACATGGCGGAAAAAGCCACAATTTGCTCAAATAATTAGTAGCTTTTGAAGTAGGTATTTTAAAACAACACAACCCACTTAAGGAATAGAATAGGGCATTTCATTTGAGAAGATAAAAAAGTAGCTTCTGCTTATTTTTGTCATTAACAAAGAAACAAACATAAAGTCGTGCCTTTAATCAACGGCTCTCTCTTCCAGTTTCTGGTGCTGCCATTTTCAGTTTTTAATTGTGCATATCTTATTTCTGAAGATTTCGTTTTCTTCAGAAATTCTTATGATTACAAACTGAAGTAATAAAAAAATCTAGCCATATTTTGATTGTGGCCAGGGTGGGCCTGGTTTGCTTTCCCCTTGGCATTAAGAAAACCAAGTGGAATCTGAGAAATGTGAAAAATACAATCGAGCCTCTTCTCCTCTCCACTAAGAAATTTTAATTTCAATAAACACAACTTTCACTGCTTCCCAAAATCCTTCAGTTTAGACTTTAGCCAACTGTCCTTACTACTTTATCACTTTTTACTTTCACTTTTCTTTTGCTTCTTCCCCACTCTTTCTCTCTCTCTCTATTAAACTTGACCCCTTTTTGCCCTTCCCAATCCCATTATAAAAACCACCCACCCCTCTTGTCCTCCTTCATGCCAAATCATTGCTTTTTATTCATTTCTCTCAAAGATTTTATTTTATTAAAAAGTAAACATGAAGAACAAGGCTTCCGGGTTCTTGAAGCAGATAATCTCGCTTATAACTACAATAGCCAAGGCGAAGACACTGGCTCTCAAGACCAAAACCAGGGCTATCAAGACCCGCTTGATTATATTCTCCTTGTTGAGGAACAAGAAGATTATGATGAGCTCCATCTCCGACAAGCTCCGTGTCCTGATGGGGCAGCAGCATGAAGACAAGACGAAGCAAGATGGCGACGATCAACCTGAAGGGAATAATGCTATTGTGCTCTATAATGCCATGTCTCACGAATCTCTTCCCAATCCGTCTCACACAGAGTTCCTGGATTATGATTATGATTATGATAATAACAAGTATCCGGACCTTACCCACTCCCTGTTTGAAGCTGAAGATCTCGACTCTGAGGATCCTGGAGGGTCTGTGATAGACTTGGTGAAGAACTCAAAGCCGGAAGGGGAAGAGTTCAAGCTGGAAGACGAGATAGACCATGTTGCGGATTTGTTCATAAAGAGATTCCATCGTCAGATGAGGATACAGAAGCAACTTTCCTTCAAGAGGTATCAGGAAATGCTCGAAAGAAGCACCTGATTTTCGTTATTTGATTCTTGTCTCATCGAGATTCATTAAAATGGTGAAGATCATGAAACTCTAATTAAACCAACATGGACGTACGATTCAATGATATATACAGCTTTTCCATGAAGAGTGTACTTAATTTTCAGTTAGTATTATAATCATAGGTTAAAAACTGACGGTGTTGAGATTGTAACTTTGTGGGGCAATAAGAAGAGATGTGGCTCAATTTTATCGAGCCATTTCTGTGTATGCTTTCTTGTAATGTTCACACATTTAATATATACAGTACTTTGTTTTGCTAAATCCCTCTTTTCTTTAATATTAAAATTAGGACTTACCATATATGGAAGAACTCAAAACTCAAAGTCTAAAATTGGTTATGTTTGATTTGAATAAACATATATTTTATTTTGTTCCTATGTTTTTAGGTGCTTGATAGATGTATCAAATACTCTCTGGATCTTTGAAACTTTTAATATTATTCAAAGGCTTTAAGTTAATTAAAGGGAGAACAACATTTTCCCAACCCAAGGTTTGGTGAAACAATTTACCTGCCCTTCAAGTTTCAAAATGACACTTTCCTACCTTTTGTTAGGTTCTGTTATGTTTTATATTAATATTTTACTGAAAAGACGAAAATACTCTTATATATTTGACTTTATAAATTTTCATTATTTTTTAATTAGCCAAAAAGTCAAAAAATAAAAAATATTTAACCTCACAAAAAAAGTTAGGAGTAATGTTATGGAATTGTTTAAAGTTAAATTACCTTAATATTTATTTATTTATAATGTTATCAATATCCTATCATCATTATTTAATAATCTACTAAATTTATAATATTTTTCATTTTTACCAATTAACATAGAAAATCAATATTCCTAATTAATTAAATAAACAAATGAAAAAATATATTTTTACACTTGAACTAATAAATAATCAAGTATTAAAGACTTTGACTTAATTAAATTTTAATTTATAATAAACTAATTAAGAAATAAGCTATTTAAGGATATTTTCGTCTTTTCAATCAAATATTAACAAAAAAAACACTAATAGAACCTACCGAAGAGTGGGAAAGTATCATTTTAAAACTTGACGGGTGGGAAAGTGTTGTTTCGCCAAAACTTGGGTGGGAAAATATTGTTCTCCCTTAATTAAAATTAAAATTCTAATTACATAATACAGTATTTGCCTTATGACTTCTATTATCAAAGTTTGAAACTTCAGGGGATCTATGTGTGATAAACCATTTTAATTAATTAAACCGCTTAAACTCCTGAAACGACGTCGTTTTGAAAGAACTAGAAAAGCGAAAAATGAAATAACAATAACGCGGCCTTTGGATCGTGCAAGACTTTTGAGTGAAGGAAATATCAAAAGGTTGTCTTGCAATTTCCGACCACCTTAAGCGAATCGCATCTTACTTCTCTTTCTGGGGAAAGGTTCGTTTTGCAGCTTCGATTATAGTTCTATTATCATTTCTCGATCGAGTGCGCTGATGCAAACCTTTATTTTGTTGTTGTATTCATGAATAATTGCAATATATTTTGAGTAATTAACCCGTCAAATCAATCGCTGATAGAGTTTTCTTGTTGGAATTTTTCAGCATGTTTTCGGTTTTCTGTTAAATTGGGTTTTTGTCAAGTAGAATCAAAACATGGAAATTAATCAGTCAGTGGATGAAGTATATGGTAATTACCTCAACTTTCTATTATTCATCGCGTCACATTTGAACAATCTTGTCTATTAGAGTTGCACAGTTGCTTGAATTTGTTTTTGTCTGTTGTAATGTTTTTATATTTGCATTTCAAGAGTATAAGCAGTTTAATTTATGCATAAATTGTGTTTCTCAAGTATCAGATGGAAGGAATGGTGTGAAAGAAAGGAGTAGGGATCAGAGAGAAGCTCTTCCAGGCGATCCTAAGTGTGTTATATGTGGCCGCTATGGTGAGTATATTTGTGATGAGACAGATGACGATATTTGCAGCTTGGAATGTAAGCAAACTCTTCTTTGCAGAGTTGCTAACAAGGGGATGCGGGCTGCTCCCGCACTTCCTCAAAGATTACCTGCCACTGATGAGTGCTACTACGTTAGGGAATCAGATAATAATTCAGGATATCAAGATTTCAGTAGTTATCAGAATGAATTAGTTAGAAGGAAGCTTGAAATAAATGTGAAGGGTGATGTAATTCCGGCTCCCATTCTCTCCTTTTCCTCTTGCAATCTACAACAGAGGCTTCTTCAAAACATTGAAGCTGCTGGCTATGACATGCCTATGCCTGTTCAGATGCAAGCGATACCAGCTGCTATGATTGGCAAAAGCCTGCTTGTTTCTGCTGACACAGGCTCAGGGAAAACTGCTTCCTTTCTAGTCCCTGTTATTTCTCACTGTGCAAATTTTCGTCTTGAGCACTTACCGAAACAGAAAAAGCCATTAGCAATGGTTTTAACTCCAACTAGAGAGTTGTGTATCCAGGTTGAGGAACAAGCCAAGTTGCTTGGAAAAGGTTTGCCATTTAAAACAGCACTTGTGGTCGGTGGTGACGCTATGGCTGGACAGATCTACCGCATTCAGCAAGGTGTAGAATTAATTGTGGGAACTCCAGGCAGGCTCATTGACCTGTTAGTGAAGCATGATGTTGAACTAGATGACATAATGATGTTTGTTTTGGATGAGGTAGACTGTATGTTTCAAAGGGGCTTCCGAGATCAAGTAATGCAGATTTTCAGGGCCCTTTCGCAACCCCAGATCTTAATGTTTTCTGCAACAATCTCACAAGAGGTAGAGAAAATGGCGGCCTCCATGGCTAAGGATATCGCTGTTGTCTCTGTTGGCAAGCCTAACCAGCCAAATAAGGCTGTTAAGCAGCTTCCTATCTGGGTTGAGTCAAAGAAAAAGAAGCAAAAGCTTTTTGACATATTGACGAGCAAACAGCATTTTATGCCACCAGCTGTGGTTTATGTGGGTTCAAGACTTGGGGCAGATCTCCTGTCAAATGCGATTACTGTCACCACAGGAATTAAAACCTTATCAATCCATGGGGAGAAACCCATGAATGAGAGAAGGGAGATCATACAGTCATTTTTAGTGGGAGAGGTTCCTGTGATTGTGGCCACTGGGGTTTTGGGTCGGGGAGTTCATCTCTTGGGTGTGAGACAGGTTATCCTCTTTGACATGCCCAATTCTATCAAGGAGTATGTCCATCAGATTGGTAGGGCTTCTAGACTGGGAGAGGAGGGTACGGCAATTGTGTTTGTGAATGAGGAGAATACAAATTTGTTTCCAGAGTTGGTTGAAATTTTAAAATCTTCTGGAGCAGCTGTTCCTCGAGAACTTATTAATTCACTATCTACAGTGGGTTCATTTGGCAGGGGCTATAAAAAGAGGAAGCATGGTTGCTGAAATTTCAGGAAATATATTAGGTTCTGGGCCTAATTTTCAACTAAGTATTCTAATATCTTCATGCTGTTGTCAGAAGTATGACTGAAAGCCAACGTAATTTGCTTGCTTTCAGCTAACATGTGGTGGTAATGGTGGAAGTTTTGAAGGTGCATTGTTGTGTTAAAATTTCCCTCTTATCACTAAAATTCCTTCTTCAGTTGAATGTTCTGCCAGATTTCCCAGTTCAATGATCATTCACTCCAACATCTATTTCAGCATCGTTTGAGTTGATTGGATCAATACAAGGAGTCAATACAGTTGCAATCATTGAGCTTGGGGACTTGACTAGATCGGAAAGTACAAAAGGACGGACAATGAGCATTGTTTGGCAAAGGATAATGATGGTGGGGTTGTGGAAGCAAGAGTAAGGGTTCTCAGATAGTTTGCCTGATCTTTATTGGTTTTCCGCCCTTAGAGAATGAAATGCCAAAGCTCAACGACTGCCCTTGTTGTTATGTAGTCTGTTGTTGGGTGAATCGGTGGTGCCAGCAATGATCTTGCCAGACACAAGGAATCTATTAGTACTCCTTACAAAAATATAATTGCAGAGCAACCAATTTTGTATCCTAAGAAGATAAAGGGAGATAACATCCCAGATGTATAAAGTTTTGACGAAAGGTGACATTGAAATAAATTTAGTGACTGATTTTGTTGTGAATTTTAATGCTGAATGCGACTGAATACATATACATATGTAGTGTGCCAAAAGCTTACATATTTAGCCTAATCAAGTTAAATTTTCTTTATATGTACATTGATGATGAAGACAATTTTGGCTTCATACAATAATATTGAGGTCGTAGATTCCCTGGAATGTCGGCAACTGTCTATTAAATATACTGCTGGTATGAAATTAAATGTTCAAATATCAAATCTAAGCAGGATATATATAGCAGAAAAAACTGTTCTCTTTCTAAATCTTAGACAGATTCTGGAATCAATTGTGTATAGACCACAAACATATTCAGATTTTTCTGAGTCGGGTTCAGGAAAAAGTACCAATTATAGGGATAAATCTTGCAAATGAAGAAAAAGAAGAAGAAAAAATAGAAAGGACACACGAAAGAGAACAGACACGTGTCGTGATGGGAAAGAACCTGTCTCATTACCGAGAAACCGCGAAAGCCTAACTACCAACGCCTCCCGAGTGAGATCATGCCAACAACTTGGTTTTGCGGAACAGTCGAAATAAATAAATACGTAATAAATATTGTTTCTTTTTCTTTCTTTTCAACTCCCACCATCACCCACCAAATCATCACGAGAAAAAGTTTTGTGGGTAATTTATTTTTTAGAAGTATCTCTCCAAATCCAATCCAAATTACCGCGTCTCAATCTTATTAACAGGTGACATGCTTCACTCCTTTCCTTGATTCTTTCCTGCGTAAAGATTAATTTTTATTCGAATTCATTCTCGTTAGCATCGGTTGCCTCTTGAATCTTGATCAATTGCTGTTGTGGTTATGATTATATGACCCTACTGTTATTTGCTTTTTTTTTAGCTTTACTTGCATGAATGTTTGGCCTCTTCTTTTTGTTGGTTTTAATCCTCCTTTGATACAATCGATCTGCGGTCCATTTGTGGTGTTTTCGGATTCATGATCAATTCACGAATAGCCCCTGTTTATGTTTTTATTTTTTTGCCATTATTGGTTTCTCCTGTTGTATTGGATGAGTTCACACTGGGAAAAGCCTTTATTGGATTGGGTCATGTTTAATCACATTTATTCATAAAGTGATACCATTGAGAATGATTCCATCATCAGATGAATTGTTTGTGGAATTATAATTATTTTATCATTTTTTATGCTTATGTTATGGTGACGTGGTGACATATTTGATATACCATATGTCTATTCTATTGATTGTTTGTCAACATTTTCAATCTGTAATTTGATGATGATGCAGTAAAGCTTTTAACTCCGGCAGTCTGCCGTAGAAGGCCATAGTAGTTGGTGTTATCACTTAAAGAAGTTAGCAGTACTTGCGTGATTACATTATGTGGAATGGAACTCAGAGTGTTGGTGAATCTTCTAGCTCAACTTCCTTGAGCAGTCAGCAGGATGTTGAGGATGACCAAATGATTGCCTTCGTACTTTCAGAAGAGTATGCTAAGTTAGATGGTGTTGTTGCTAGGCGCCTTTCCAACCTGGCCCCTGTTCCTGTAAGATGCCTGATTCTTTATAATTTGGCTCAAAGAACCGAACATTTTTCTTTTCTTTTGGGACAATCCTTTTATAATTCATGAACAACAGCAGGATCAACCCTGCCACTAATTGTTATAAAATGTAACTTCACTCTTTTATCAAAAGAAGATTCTTTTCTGAATTTCTCATCAAGCATTTCTTGGAATTTCAGCATGTGCCTCGGATAAATACCTATATCCCCAACTTAAGTGATGCCAGTTTGGATCACCAACGGCTTCTCCAGAGGTATGTCTTGTACTTGGTCATTAGAGTACCTTAGTGATTTCTTCATCTGGGAATTATGTATAAGGTTTCAATTGATCTTAATATTTATATTTCATGGGAAGATGTTGAAAGGCATGACCCATATGAAAAGTAAATTCTATTTTAGGTGCTCAGCATGAATTTATAAGTTAAATGCTGATGCAGGTTTAATCACTCGCATTAGTGGGAGAGCATAAGGAAACAAATAAATAAAAGGATAATTATATGAAATTACGCAGTAGCAAAATTTACAACTTAGTACTCTCTTGTGAAACTGGGAAGATGAGTCCTGAGAATGATTCTCAACTTAGAAAACTTCATGGTGGAAACTGCAAGTTGTAGATCTTTTTTACAGGAAAAATTAACATCTCTGACTGTGACTGGCAAAAAATGATCCTAAGAAGTTAATATCCCTTGTGAAGAGGTTTGCAGAAGATTTATCTGCTGCAAGTGGTAGAACCTCAAGTTAAGCAACTACTATTTGTCTGCATGTTTTAACATTTGGAGTTGCACTTTTTTTTTCTACATTTTACACGTTTATTAGTATATAATAGGTGAAAGTCTATGCTAGAAGTTGTTAGCAGGAAGGGGTTTGGAGATGCCGTTGTTTTTGTTTTCCCTCAGGTTTCAGTTTTGTGAAGGTATTAAGTAAATTTCTAATAATTTTCTACCAGGCTACAAGTCTATGGTTTATGTGAAGTGAAGGTCTCTGGGGATGGAAATTGTCAGGTATTGTCAATGTTAAAGTTATGGTGGAAATGTTCTCTCTCTCCTTCTTATTGTTTGAGATTTTCTAAAAAAGTTCTTTTCCAACCTTCTATTGCAGTTCCGTGCACTTTCAGAACAGATGTACAAGTCACCTGAGTATCACAAGCATGTTAGAAAAGAGATTGTGAAACAGGTAGATTTTCTCTGAAGTGTCCAAACAATGTGACCATTGGGTGGATTCGGTTTAGAAAATTTGTGTAATAATCTAAATTTTGGTCCTTAATATCGATCCCATTGATTATGGTGAAACCTCTGCGTGATAAAGAATTTTCACCCTGCTTTTGTGGTGGTGTATGCTTAACAAAATAAAGATATACAAATCTTGTGGAGGAGATGTCAACTTTATTATGTAACTTTAAGAATTTGAGAACAGAGAAAGTTTTTAGAACACTACAGACATCATTGTTGCTAGCTTATAGTCATTGTTAATACTTCTCTTTACCATCTCTGCCACTTTTGTGCCACTTCCATGTTTGCTGCCATCACTGGATTCAGAATAGAATTGCAGCTGCTGCGACCTTCCACTCTCTTTCTCATGCCTATATGCTGTGGCTATCATGATTTCCATGGTCGTAAAACCCTTCTGTGACCAGTGACTCCGAACTTTCAAGACTCTCTCACTGCCAGTAATGTTAACCTTCATTATAACCACTGCCATTGCTGCGTTATTCTAATGAATTACCATTGAATCATTGCAGTGACCCATAACCACCAGCAGTGGCAAGAAGCCAAGAATATATACCCCCTATCACTGCAACCTGCCAGTAGCCAGCTGCTAAAATCCATGAAACTATCTCTAGCATGCCTGACCGGCCACTATCAAAATTAGCTATCAGTTTCTTAAGGTGCTTTGTGTCAATTACCTCTTGCCCACCATCTTTATGACCACAACTTCATCTTTATTCTTTAAAACTCATCGAGTGATCCAGAAAACTGAATTCATCCAATTCTAAAATTTCCAACTCTGATTAGAAATATAAAGTCTCTGTACTTTGTTGAACCAAATGTGCTCTTGCAGTTTTCTTGTTTATGAATCTTGAGATATTTAACTCAGAGGACGTAATTTTTTAAGCTGTTTAGGATGGGGGGTTATCATTAGATTTCATTTTATACATTTATTGCTATATTATCTCTTTTTAAATTAGAAGTTGCTCTGTCTGACCACAATTTTGTGGGCTTTTTGGATGTTAACTGTTTGCCAGTAAAAAGAAAGTGCTACATGCTTAATAGATTTATGAAAAATATTTTGCCGGTCATCGGGGAGTTTAGTTTTTATGTACAAAAATGAGATCATTTGGTATAAAATTTGCTTATTTTCTATTATTTCCCGTTCCAGCTGAAAGAATATCGCTCTTTGTACGAAGGCTACATTCCAATGAAGTACAAACGTTACTACAAGAAAATGGAAAAGTATGTCGGTCTATTTAGTGTCAGCACTTCCATTTTTTGGATTTTATAAGCCTTTACTTCCAAGTTCAAAGGATACTTCTACATTCTAGTTAATAATACTTAATTAGCAGTAGGGAAGTTTTCTTTTGTCTTTCCTAATTTAATGTTTCATGCAGAACTGGTGAATGGGGGGATCATGTCACTTTACAAGCAGCAGCTGATAAGGTCTAGCATTCTCTTCTCAAACCATTATAATTGACTCTTTGTGCTGCGACTGTAGTATTAAATAACTGTGATACTTCATCTTTAGTATCCAAAAATTCTTTGTCAATGATTTCTTATGGCAAAATGTACATACGATGCATTGATAGTTAGTCATTTTATGATGATGCAAATAATGTTGAATATACATGCAAGGATAATGCATGACTAGAGATGCTTAGAAATCGTGTAGATGTATTCTGAATTTCACATGATAAGTGAAATGCTATAAGACCTGCTTTTACTTTATTATTGGTCACTGTGTAAGACAGTAACTTATAATGTTATTTCATGTATGCCAGTACTAGCACTGATTATGCTGCTTTTGCATATGCAGTTTGCAGCAAAGATATGCCTCTTAACATCATTCAGGGATACTTGTTTTGTTGAAATTACGCCACAATACCAGGCACCTAAACATGGTAAGTAAGACTTTGAGAGTCCTCCTCATGCTGTCTTTTCAATAGTTTTGTGGACACAATCTTACAGTTATCCTCTTTTTTTTTTTTTTCCACTTGTTTATAAATGATGCAGAGTTATGGTTAAGTTTTTGGTCAGAGGTACACTACAACTCACTATATGAAATCCGAGGTTTGTTTGATCTCAAAATCTCGTTGTCTAGTTGACTTCTGGGAGTTCCAAAGAACATGGGTTGTCAAGTAGAATAAATTTTGTTTCTTGTCTATTTTGTAGATGCTCCAGTTCAACAAAAGCCTAGGAAGAAGCACTGGTTGTTCTAGAGGAAGCAGATAGGTGATTTTGTCAAAGCATTCATGAGGTTGAATACATTTTAGTATTGTGCATATTTTCCTTTGTTTTCTTATATATTTATTATATTCTTTTTTCTTAATTCTTACTATTATATTCTTCAGCGATAGTTTGATTTTACTACTATAAATACTAGCCATTAGCAATGGTTTTAACTCAACTAGAGAGTGTGGTATCC